TATTTTGCTTAAAATATTGCTTAAATATTAAAATAACATAAAACATAATATTACGATAAAAATAATAAAATATTACGTACTAATTTTAACAGAAAATTATGTACTGTATGATAAAAAAAAACGGCGTCCAGTTGGTTTGGAAATAATATAAATTTAACATACAAAATGACAGCGATCTTCTTTCCAAGCCATCTCTGACGCTGTTTTTTACGATCGTATGATACTGTAACTACAATACACAGCAATGATCTATTATTATTCGAGTATTTATATCATCAGTAGAAGATTTTTACTAACCACGTTAGCATCATCATCAGAACACAAATAACAGTATTCGTTATCTGCTGATGTTGCTAATATGTGCACAGATTTTGGAAGAAGTCAGTATTAAAAAATCATATCAACCTGAAAAAGAACGCTGAGTTTGCTAAGTAAGCTCCAACAGCCATATCTGGATAATCATTTCCATCCATGTCCAGCCCGCCAGTAATTGAAAACCCGAAAGTGTTTACTGGAATGCCATTGGTGGATTGGACGTCTTCAGCGTAGATGACTTGGCCATATTTCTCTAAAACACCCTCAGAAGACCCGTAGTAGATGTAGATTGCACCTCTATTGAATTCACCATCGTATGGAGCCCCAACAGCAAAATCTGGTAAAAATACATTTAAATTAGAAAAGTTGAAAATAATAGCTTCTAAAGAAATGTTAGTTCTTTTAGATTTTTCTTATCAATGTAACTTTTTTAATAAGTTGTTAATTATCAGTAAATACTTTTTAGACTTTTGTATGGCTTCCTTTTTATCAAAACTGTAGAACGACGAATGATATCTAATCCTATGCATCTGTATTTGTAAAACAATTGCAGTTAACATCCACCAGGAGCTTTAAATTATTTAAAATATAAATAATACCATTAAAATAAAATTACCTTAAATCCTGTTGATACTATTGTATTCGTAAATTTATAAAAAAAAATGTTTAATAGCAATGAAATATTTATTTATGTCGTCTCTTTTATTATATGTAAATAATACAATTGTATACAATAGAAAATGCACATTTACGATCGTATTGGCATATGATCCATGTCATTTGTTTCTTTTAATGCGTTTGTGACATAGTTTTATTTTAGCTTTCATGGATGAAATCATGTAGTTGATGATGTATAGCATTGACAGTTTTAATGAAAACCAAACTCCGCAAGACTGTTGCTATTTTGCTATTTTTATATACTTCATGTTGTATTACGTACTACTGATTTATTTTAAGTTTTATTGATGCAGTACGTATTTTTATGCATCCCTGCAACATTTATAAATAAAATTTTGTTTTTAAAAAAGTATAATCACAGCATATCATGCATATGAATAATGTATAATATTGAGAAAAAATTACCCAAGTAGCATTTTCACGACTTGCGATCAAATGTTTACTAAACACAACGTTGGATTAGTTACAAAAAATAGTTAGCTCCGTACCTTGGGTATTAAAATAAATGTAAACGTTGTTGTGACGTTGTGCCGACTTTGAACTAGTACTACAACAAAGTAAAAGCTTCTGCGACGTCGAATAAACGTTGTCTTCTAACCTTTTTTGCTTAAGTGATCTTTAGGTAATTCGGACAACGTAGTTACAATGTTGGGCAATAAAGAGTTTTACGACGTCACTTTCAGGACCTACTCCAACGTTATGCAAACGTCGTCTGTTTTACTAATTCCAACGTTGTTTAAATTTCATTATTCTTACGTTGGTAGGACGTCGAGCCACTACCTTTTTGCAACTGTATTGAACCGTAACCTTAAATCTTAAATTTTCACTTCATTGCTCTATTCAGTTCAGTGCTGTTTTTGTTTTTTATAAAAAAAAAACTTAATTAAAATGGGACATAAGAAAGGTACATATAAAACTAAATTTAAATATACATCGACATATTACTGATACTTTTTCCACTCCCTCGTTTATTTAGAATATAGAGGGCGGCCCATTAGTATTTTTCAAAGTAGAAACAATACATTTATCAATAAAGTTGTTTGCGTTTAACTTTTTTGCCTTGGGTAACGAGTTACAGAGTCGGTTAAAGTGTTTCATAAATTATGATCTTCAAACATCTTCCACACTTAAATAGTTTTGGTCGCGTTCATCAGGACGTAGCGCTACCGCATCGATCACTAATTTTCTGCTGAACGCGCCGATTAGCGCTCTGGGATCAGTCGCCATTTTTTCCATCAGATTTAAAATACGCTACGCTACCGATGCATGATGGATTAAAGTCACATACGCCAAATGTCACGAAATGGTTTGGAAAACGAAATTTAAACCATTTTGTTTATTGTTCTCGGTTGACTAATCCCCTCGATTTATTTAGAATATAGAGGGCGGCACAATTTAGACTCTAGGATGACTGAATTAGACATATGCATTACTGATGATTTATAGACCTACCAATGAAGGCCGAACTGCGACTTTATTAGTCCAGTATGCGACTACTCGAACTACTCCATCTTAATCTCCAAAACAACAACGTGAAAGCCGCCATGTTGTTCAATAAGAAAATGTTTCGTTCCTAAAATAGCAATTCCTGCTTTTGAATACATTAACTTGAAATATTTGACCCTAAAAACACGCGGAAACAATTTTTCGACTGCGAATAAATTATTCTCATTTTACTAAAAAAAAATTCAAGAAAATTTTAAACTTTAATTTTAAGGCCCATTAGTATTTTCAAAGTAGACCTTTGTTTTGTTTTCCTTCACTGCCATCTGACATATGTCTCTAACTAAATCATAAAAATAATATTTTTACTATAATTATCCCAATTTAGGATAAAACGCGACTTAGACGCCATATTAGTTTTGTATTTCTGTGAATTAGGATTTTAAACAACGTTGCAGTTTGTACTAAATTAGGCTTCTAGCCAACGTCGGTATCCAACGTCGTTTCGACCCAAAAATTATTCTCCAAACTAGTACAGACTAGGGTTGGCACGAGGTGGTGCCGACGTTGCGCCCCGACGTTTGGTCGCGTGACACAACGTTGTCCCGACGTCCAAATGCTGCTTGGGGAGGTCCAACTTAAGCTGGAGTCTCATGCACATCGAAATCTCATGACACGACGATCCGACGGTCTTCTCCTATTGGTCGAAATATTTTGACAACAATTTTTATCCGATAATTTTAACTAATCATCCGATCCATATTGAAGTAGGGGCCATATATAACATTTTAATGTTCTTAGCCTCGTTGGTATACCTATTCTGGGATGGCACAAAAACTTCCGCATGATGAGGAAACCTGCGCTAGCTATTTCTATTCTTCTTCTGATTTCTTTAGAGTGGTCTAGCTGGCTGTTTAATTCCCTGCCCAAGTAAATATAACTCCGCGTGGTTTCGAGATGGACGCCGTTTACCATTATGTCGGTTTTTTCATTGTCTTGCGGATGTCTGTCGAAAATCATAGTTTTTGTCTTGGCGGTGTTAATCTCTAGACTCATCCTGATACTTTCTTCTGTCAGTTTGTCCATTAGGGTTTGCAGCGGGTCTTCGGATTCTGCTAATACCACGGTGTCGTCTGCGTATCTTATATTGTTTATAATTTATCATTTATTCTAGCCCATTCTGGACAATTTTGAAGAGATTGTCGAATTATATATTCGGCATAAACGTTAAACAATAATGGTAATAACAATAAATTTATCAGAGACCGGTTATTACTGGACTATTTCTCAAAAAAAAAGCATGGCACAAGTTTTTTGAAACATCCTGTACAGTTTTTTACGAGTATATTAGTTTTTACCAATTTGTCTATTTTAAATAAAACTACATATTATAGTAGTTTTAAATTCTACGTTAATTACTAAACTCATTTTGTAATAATATGTTTAGTATTTAAAATAAGAAATTAAATATAAATTGTATGCGAGTAAAAAATATCGAGGCTGTTAATACTGAAGTTTGTATTATATTTGAATGAAATGTACTACAATAAGATTATTTTATTGTTCTTGTCGTAACTGCTAATGTAAGTTACTCATACCATCTCTGGGTTATCTTTAAAGCAAGAAATACTCATCGCACTTACCATCGTAACCATCTTGATTGAGATCTCCAAGATAAGCGACGCTATGACCAAATCGAGACTTGGAATTGAAGCCATCAATAAATGAGCTTTTGTTAAAACTTGTCTGCAATCGAAAAAGTTCATTTTAAAATTTAATTATATCGCTATGTATAAAAAATATTTAAAATCTTATGATATTGTTTCTTTATCGTTAAAAATTGTTACGTCAAAAACTACTTACATAACTTCTTCCCTGATAGAAGACGTAGACCCTTCCAACGTCATATTTGTCTTCTGTGTTGGGTTCTGTGTGTAGTGGTGCCCCTACAATAAGATCTAACTTTTTGTCACCATCCACATCGGCCGCTGCCAAAGAATATCCGAAATATGAACCCAGTTGATTGCTGGAGATATTTTTGTAGTTGGTCAAATTCCATGTAAATAGAAGCACCTGGAAACAAACAAAGTAGGCATTAGTACGTTTTTAAAGTATGTAAATTGTCCATCGCAATTACATAATAAAAAATTAAAGATATTCATTATTCCCCCCTTTATACTAATATTTTAACTCGATGGTTATATATTAAAAAATTGCCTATCTGGAGGTTGTTTCGGTCTTTGTATCATTGTATAAAAATTTAGAATACCTCTTGAAGTAATAATAATAAAAGTGGAAGATTTAGAAGAAATAGTGATGAGCAAATGCAAAACCAAGACTAAGACTCGCTTGGTCTTGGTCAGGTAGTCTAATATAGTAGTCTTGGTCTTTTGGTCTGGGCAGCAAGACTCTAAAGACTTGTACTTTTTTAAGAGATTAACGAAATAGTTTTAAAATTGGTATAAAATCTTTAAGTGACTGACATACTGATTAATCACGATCCTGCTCAAACCACTCAACGTAAGAAGCTCGATTTTGACATACAGGTTGATTCTAGGGTGTAGATGTTCGATAAGAAGGGATTTTTCGAAATTCCCGTTCCAAGAGAGTGAAACCACCCCTCAAATGTTACAATATTTTTTATTTACAAAACGGTGAAGTTTTCGAAAAAACGCTTAAACACGTATATTTTATTTTGTTTTTTTTACATATTTTAAGATTTTTTAAAAATGTATACAGGGTGTTTCGAAAAATCTGGTCATTGATTAATCACAATCCTGCTTAAAGAGCTTGACGTAAAAAGCTGATTTTTGGAACACAGATTGACTTTAGGGTGTAGAGGTTCGATAAGAAGGGATTTTTCGAAACTCGAATTCCAAGGGGGTGAAACTATCCCTCAAATATTAAAATATTTTTTTTATTTAAAAACCGCTGAGTTTTTCGGAAAAACTTTAAACACGTATATTTTATTTTGTTGTTTTACATATTTTAAGATTTTTTATAAAGTTATACAGGGTGTTTCATAAAATATGACCATCATCACGATTCTGCTTAAACTGCTTGACGTTTAAAGCTGATTTTTGGCAAACAGATTGACTGTGGGGTGTAGAGGTTCGATAAGGAGGGGTTTCTCGAATCTCAAATTCCAAGAGGGTGAAAACGCCCCTCAAATATTACAATATTTGTTACTTAAAAAACGGTTAAAAAAACGCTTGGACATGCATCATTTATTTGTTTTTTTTACATATTTTGAAATTTTTTAAAAAATCATACAGGGTGTTTCAAAAAGTTGCGTAATTTCTTAACCACGATTCTGCTTAAACTGCTTGACGTAATTATTTACTTATTTATGGCAAACGGATTTTTCGAAAGTCAAATTCCAACGAGATGAAACTACCTCTCAAATATTACCAAGTTATATAATAATATATAATAATAATATCGCCATATTGTTTTTTCTCATGCTGACATAATTGTGAGAAAATTTTATCCAGTTTGTATGTTAATGGAAATTCTTGCTTTGCTTTATCATCACCATTACAAATGATTAATTCGACGCGAACGAAGTCGCTGGGACACGCTAGTATTTTATATTTGTTTGAAGTAAAAAATTTAGATTAACAAAACATTTCATCAAACAATTGGAGCAGTTTTTAACTAAACTTATGCTTCATTGTTAATATATTTCAGGCTGTAAAAAAATGGTATTATGCTTTGACTCCCGACTATAAAATGTGAGCTATATTTGGTTTCGCTCAAGGTGTAAACCACATAAATAGGAAGTTCTGAGACGATCATAAAATTTTATAGTTTTCCTCAATAAAAGTGTGTAGTTCCTGAACATATCCGAACAATTATATTTGAAATTTACTAAGTGAAACGTATTTTAACCACCATTTAGAGACTAAATACATGTTATCAAACACATAATTATCAGAATATATGGTTTGTTTTATCACTGTTTAACCGTGGGTAAAAAAATTGGCGTGCAAAATTGTGAGAATGTAAAAATTTTATCTGATAAGTTTTTTTCTAAATACCTGGTCTTTAAGATTAAAAATATTGATTCTAATTAATTATTTTTTTTAAGTTATTTAATAAATATAATTAATAATATAATTCAATAAATACATAAATAAATCCCTATCAGGAAAAGCCACTACTAACATTTAAGCTTGACAAAAGAACCTCTTAGCTGAAAATAGCATCGAAAAAGACGAGAATTTTTCGAGACGCAGTTTTTTAAATAAAAGTTTTTTTTTTCTGGTTCTAAACCTGCTAACCCCTAAATTCAAATAAACTATTAAAAAAATACACATTTCTAATATATTTTTGATCTAAGAAACAAATTTGCTATTTTAATATAACCCGACTGCACTAAAATACAGGATGTCCCATTTAAAAAATGGAGTTTTTACGAAAACTGACACACTAGACACCGTGTGACATCTTTAGCAATAAAACTTGACTAAACTTAACTATAATTATTAGTTTTCAAGAAATAATGTTCAAAAAGAAAAAAAAAATATAACCAGTTAAAAATGTGAGAAAATAAAATAAAAACGCCGTAAAAAAAATGAAAAATCTCATTTTTAAAAAATCGTTTAATAATTTCTGCACTTATTCATTTTTATCCTGTATTGTAATCTTTAATAATATAATGTTTTACGGAAATAAAAAAATAATTAATGAAAAATTGTCACTACAACTCGCTGTAAGCTCAAACTTCACCATTTCAATGCTTACTATAACTATAATTTTTATACGATCACACGGTATTTTCAAGATATTATACCGGGTGCATCTAAAAAGTGGCTCACCCCTATAACTTTTTTATTTTTTCACATAAAAAAACGAGATTTGGTATGTTAGTATATGACATACATTAGGGTTGATTGACGTATTCAATTGTTCTAGAGTGCCATGGCTATGTTAGAAACACTAATTATTAATCAAGGAGCCTTGGAAAAATAGATTCGATCGTCTAATGTTTTAGTGTCTTGTTCTGGCCGGTTAAAAGATGCCCAAATCGCATTTTTAATCATATCTCAAATTTTTCAAATGGAACGAGGCTGGCTCATTAGCATATTTGAGAAAAGCATTTTTCCGAATAATTTGATACCATTTCGAGTCAAATTGTTGTTAGGAACTACATGTTATAATTTCAAATAAACCATATGCGAAAATATCAAAAGTTGAGAAAAAAGGTCATTCTATTCAAAATGATATTTTCTATCGAATGAAATAAAAAAAAACCGAGGGTGTCATTTAAAAATCAAAAGTTGTAGTCATTTCCGATGAAACAGGAAGTGACCGAAAACAATTTATTGCGTCAATTAATACTAATTTATGTCATATACTAACATACCAAAAAATCTCGTTTTTTTATCTGAAAAAATAAAAAAGTTATAGGGGGTGAGTCACTTTTGAGACGCACCCGGTATATTAAAAAATTAAAAAAATATATATAATATGCTTTTTAGATAAATTAAGACTTAATTTTTTTCCCTTTTTTATTTTTTTTAATAAAATCGGATGTGATGTTTAATCGAAAAATGTATAGTATTTCCAAAGTCAATTGGATTGGTGTAGGGCTCTCAATTTCGGCACTCTCTTTGTTGGCCGCGCTATTGTTGGCTATGATAAACAAATTAAGGGTTTAAGAAGCCATTTCAACTTCTGCCTTCATATAAAACTAACCTTTCCGTGAAGCTCTGCTCCTCTAGGCATACCAACCGCTACACCTTGCTCCCCATTACCCAAAAAGTCACCCACAATGGTGGAATATCCCAAATACGAGTCGTCATCTTGCTGCTTCCCTTCCCTAGTTTGAAAAACAGCTGGTCTTGTCTCTAAACTCTGTTGATGAACCGAACCTGTAAAATTGACAGATGTTGAACCATTCCAGGTAAAGTTTAAGCCGATTAGCATTTTTTATTTGATGAAATTAATTAATCAGTATGTTGGATATTTTCTTTAAATAAAGTGATTAGTTCTATTTTAAAATCATACAAATATCCATCATACTATTTATAAATAACATAACTAAACGGTTAAATGAAGCAAAATAAGATAAAAATACACCAAAGCGTTTATGTATTGTGCGTGTGTGTATGTAATAAAATGAAAAATATTGAGTAAATTAAATTGGAAATTAGTATTTTTAGTTTATGCGTTAAAATAGTTGGTTGATATGAATTCCTGAATTCCTAAAATATCTCGTTCGTTATTGCTCTAACTATGCTTTCATAAATTATGTAAATAAATACACGAATCTATGTGGAACTAAATGTTTTAACATACTGCAATTTTCTTTGTTATGTGTGTGGTAATATACGCGAATTTCATAACAGGAAAATGAGTTTCTAGACTGTTTGTATTATATTTTGACAAGAAATACAAATAAATGGATAATAACTGTATTGTTTTAATATATTTCAAAATTATGTATTGTAATCAAAAATATCAGCTCAAATTACTAAGAGCTTTTACTACACTATTAATAGCAGAAGTATCTAGTATTTTCAATCTATAGCTCGATAGCTATGAAAAATGATCCTTTAAATTCCAGATTAAATTCTATAGTTTATCAGATGATCAGATGATTCAAACCAAATTCGAATTTTGGTTTGGTTAAGTTGAATTCGAATTCTAAACTCGTTAATAATTAAACATGTGATTATATTATTTTGAACTAGTTCCATACCAAGTGTCAGTTCCTAAAATTACTTTCAAACAATGCTTATGTTTAATATACAGGGTGGTCCGAACAGTATTCCCGAAACTTCAGCAGCATATTCTGCAGATAAAAATAAGTAAAAAACTTCATAAAAATTATAATATGTTTTTTTGTTTAGGACATATATAATTATATGTTCTAAAATGCTTAGTTTCGGAGATACAGGGTGTAAATTTCTGAATTAACGTCAATTTAAATGAAAATTGGTGTCTGAGAGTTTTTTGACATGAGAAATTTGATATTGATGAAAACATTTTTTTGATGAAAAATATACATTTAAGACGTTTATTACGTAAAAAAGGTATCTTCTTATCTAAAAGGTAAACATCGCTACGATTAATGGTTCTCGAGATATTTTGAATCGAAATTATCAATACCTCCTATCACTGACATAAATGCAGGTTGACTAAATAGTTATTAAGGTGCATTCACAAAACATTTTTTTAACATATACTTTTCAAGTGTATTTTTTTAGCGCGCACAAAAGTATATGTTAAAAAATGATTTGCGTGGCGCGGCGCGGAGCGGCGCAGCCGGAGTGAACGCACCTTTAGACTGAAATCATAAATTCGAAATGTTTTTGTGCTAAAAGTTCAACATGAACTGTTTTATCATTTTTTCGTGGAAAAACTTATGATTAATTTAAAAAAAAACAAATAGTTCCCAAATTTATTATTTCAGTGAAATAACTATCTACTCAACACGTTTATTTCAATAATGACATGTTAATAATGACATGTATTGAAATGCATATTTGTTCACTCAGTAGTTTTATACCGACGTAGGTATACCGTAGTAGGTACCGACGAAAACTTATTACTCTTTAAAACAGTTAAAACACATGTAGGTGGCGCCCCTACAAATAGGAGTCATATTGACATCAAAATCAAATTTCCCATGTCAGAAAACTCCTATACACCAATTTTCATCTCTTCTCTCTTTCATAAATATTGACGGTACTTAAGAAATTATCTGAAAAAAATCGAAATAAAAATGAAACTTCTACACCCTGTATTTCCGAAACTAAGTATTTTAGGATATACATTTATATGAACTTTTTTACTTATTTATGTCCGCAGAATATGCTGCCGAAGTTTCCGGAATACAGTTCGGACACCCTGTATACAGGGATCGGCAATAGTTCGTCGGGCATCTGTAGCTCCTATAATAAAAAATTTAGGAAAGTTGTTTAAAAAAGTATTTCAGGAAACTATTTTAACTTAGAAGTTAAAATAGTTGTAGTAGAGTCACCCTGTAGACAGGGTGACCCAAAAAAGTGTGAGTGAATCTGGATGACTTTTTTTAAACGGAACACCCCGTATATAGGCAAAATGAAACACTAAATCATCACAAATCACAATACACCAAAATACTTTACCTTTTCACTGGACCAAGTACAAAAGTAAAGTGTTTTGATATATTGTGACGAGTTAGTGTTTTATTTTGCCTATATATAGGGTGTTCCGTTTAAAAAAGTCATCCCGATTCACTCACACTTTTTTTTATCTTTTTTATCTTTTATAAAAAATATATCAAAATTTTTATCGGTTTCGCAAATATTCGCAGTTTTATTAGATATGGCTCTTTCAACAGTAAAATAGTAGACAAAAATCATTAGGTGGCTTTGATTAGGAAAAATTACTATTGAAAAACTATCCCGTCGACATAAAGTTACACGAATGAGTTTTCATTGCTTTGGTTTCAACATTGTTTTTTCGCGATTCTCTGTTTAATCACTATTTGTATATGAAAAAAAAACAAAAACATAAAAGTATAGTGAAAAATACAAAAAAAATATTTAATAACTATCCAAGGCCATACTTCTTCTCAATGTATCTTATCTCAACGATACCTATATCGACTAAATCTCCCGATTTAATCCCCCTATAATATCAGAAAGAGGAAAACGGTAACGCATCACACACGAGCATTAAATTAAAATAAGATCAGCATGAAAGCCTAAATCGATAGATTGATTCGAGATAGCGCGGCACACTGGGAGATTTAAATTTATAGTTATTAAGAACCGTAAAAGAAGGCGCGTCGGGAATTCTAACAGCACAGATCGGGTAATTACTTATGGAGTTGCGAGAAGCCGCGGCGGAACGCAGCACACATTACGGGCAAATGTTTGGGACATTTTGCGATGTTTCGTAATAAGAGTTTCCGGTGATTGAGATACCTATTTAGTAACAAGAATTTGTTACTAAACACGATGCTATCCTCAAAAAACATCCTCAAAATAATGCGATAATACACCAAAAATCACCAAAGCTTTTTACTTTAAATTCTGGATTAACCATGTCAGCATCATCAATAGATGAGTGAAACTAATTAAAGGAGTCTTTTAAATAAGTGTAAGTATGTTGGGGAGTGGTAGATTTGGACAAAAAAAACATCATTTCTATTTGTCATTGATAATAACGACTTATTTAACTTCCATCCGAAAAAATAGAATAAAAAATCCTAGAATAAAAAACTTGGACATTTTTTTAAGTGCAAACCTAAAGTATGTACCTAGGATGTATTTCAAGAAAATATTTTCACTTCTATAGGGTGGTTCAAAAAATTGTGAGTGGATCGGGATAATTTTTTTTAAACAGAACACCCTGTATATTACTACATTTTTGGCTTCCTTTCAGATCGTTTTACGCGTTCCTAAAATATGAGTAAATATATTTCGATAGCTTCAGAGATATTAATAAATAAATAAAATAGAGGTATATGTCTATACCGGGTGCGTCTCAAAAGTGGCACATCCCTATAACTTTTTTATTTATTCAGATAAAAGAACGAGATTTGGTATGTTAGTATATGACATAAATTGGGAATGACTGAACTATTCAATTGTTTTCGGTCACTTCCGGTTTCACCGGAAATACACACTTGGTATTTTGAGTCAAATTGTCGTTATGAACCGCATGTTACAATTTCAAATAAACCATATGCGAAAATGTCAAAAGTTGACATATGATATGTCATTCTATTCATAGTGTCATTTTCTATCGAATAAAGTAACAAAATACCGAGGGTGCCATTTAAAAATCAAAAGTTGTAGTCATTTCCGGTGAAACCGGAAGTGATCGAAAACAATTGAATATGTCAATTAATCACAATTTATCTCATATACTAACATACCAAATAACGTCGTTTTATCTGAAAAAATAAAAAAGTTATAGGGGTGACCCACTTTTGAGACGCACCCGGTATTTTTCAGCCTTTATTAAAAAAAAATATTAAAAATACAAGAACTGCCCTGAAATCAAAAGTAGATATTATACTGTATGATAAAAAAAAGCGTCCAGTTGGCTTGGAATTCTTGGAAATGACGATCGATGACATTTTCCATATAATTTTACATATAAAATGACAGCGATCTTAATTTCATAGCTGACGCCGTTTTTATTCGATCATACGGTATTAGGTATTTACTTTCGATGGTCTGTACTTAACTTTGCTATAAATATGGTAATCGTAAATCATACAGGATGTTCAAAATTCTACGCTAAACTTTCTAATATAAAATAATTTTTCTTCCTTTTTTTAAAATGGAACACCCTGTATATTATTTTTTCAGTAGATGGAGAATTAAAGAATCAAAATTCTTTGTATTTAGAGTACTTCAAAATTTTTAATTGCGGATTAATTCGCGTTTTATATTGGCATTTTCCACAGTAAATTTTTATCAACGCCACCCAATGATTTTTCTATTGTATTTTACCGTTGAAAGAGCCATAATAAAGCCATCGAAATAATACTGCGTGTATCTGCGAAACTCCATCTAATAAAAAAATAATATACAGGCTGTTCCATGAAAGAAAAAAAAAAGAAAAATTATTTTATGTTTTCGAAAGTTTGGCGTAGAATTTTCAACATCCTGTATGATTTAAGATTACGATATTTATTGCAAAGTAAGTATATACTATCTAAAGTAAATACCTAATATAGTTTTGATTTCAGAACAGTTCTTGTATTTTTAATGATTTTTTTATGAAAGGCTGGAAAATATATTTTGATTTATTTTTTAATATCTCTGAAACTATAAAAATATAATTACTCATATCTTAAGATTATGTAAAGTGATCAGAAAGGAAGCTAAAAATGCAATAAAATACAGGGTGCTCCATTAAAAAAAAT